GTGTATATATTGTGGCGATTCTATCTTCGCTAGTTTGCGTGGCTTTTCGGCGACGAAGTATCTATGAGTGGACCTATTCTAAAATGCATGTTTTAATAGTAGAACTGCATTTATGTTTTATGAGATATTATGCTTTACTTATAATATTTTGGAATACCATACTTTCTATCGAACCCATGTTCTTGTAGGGTATATAATGGATGACAATATACTATTTAGAACATGTTTTTACAAACTTCTTTATAGTATAAATGATGGATGATTTTATACTATGAAGATGTTTTTGAGATATATGTACCTATGTTTGGAAAGATTATGTTCAATGTTTTGTGCGTATCTACTGGTTACTGTTCTGCCTACAGGCGATGATACTCTTATATTGACTTCGATCGGGTGTAGGTTGGTGGCTTCGGCCGGGAGATACTTATATTGGCTTCCGCCGGGTGTATGTTGGTGGCTTCGGTCAAAAGATACTTATATTGGTTTCGGCCGGGTGTAAGTTGGTGGCTTCGGCCGTATGATACTGATATATGATACCACTAGTTAGCACACTATATGATATATGTTTCAAGAAGGTTTTATGGCATGCTAGGGTTTTCGGAAAAACCTACTACATATTATGCTATTGATGTTTTCATTAAACTTTGAGGGTTAATATGTTGATTACTATTTCAATATTATATATATATCAACGTGGTCCACTCATGTTTGTTTTGCGCCATCTAAGGACTTAGAATCGAGGCGTACAATGCCAGCGTCAAGGCACTTCCGCATCAGCATCTTCGAGTCCTCTCGGTGTAGGACCCATTCCTTTATTCATTCAATTTTATATTATTTCTTTTAGTATTCTAAATTAGTTGTATACTCTGAACACGTTCCTCATTCGTATATTAATCGTATTTTAAATCTATAAGTCTTATTTATTCTTGTTCTCAAGCATTCTAAATGGCTTGCGTCACCTTCGGGTGTCGGTGAACACGTACCTATCTTGGTGTTCAGGGAATATTGGGATCGGGGCATGTCACTTACTCTCTTCTTCTTTACTCTCCTAGTAAGAGCTATGAAAACACATCACCAATCAATAAAAAATAGTTAGTTGTGCAAGTCGAATTAAGGTGACTACAAATGAACGGAAGAAAACAACATTAAAAAGCCAAGGAACCAAAAATGGATTCTTTTGGTCATCATCACGTCAAGCTGGCCATTGCCAACCCAAGTCCTCATATATATATCATCAACTCAACCTCACCTCTCACACAACAACTGCTACGCTTGGCCAGTCACACTCATCAATGACAACCACGATGAATGAGACAATGGGTGACGTTGTGGCTAGGCTCTCATGAGAGTCATTCCATGTGCCTCATCCATCCCTGCCAACTATCACCACCCTTGGTTATGATTATTTGATAGATTGAGATGATGAGATAAGGTGTTTTGTGATGAGTGAAAAGGGAGAGTTGTGAGAGGAAATGAAAGAAAGGAAAATAGTGGGAAGCAACAGGTGAGTGAAGAGAGAGGGGGAGAGAGAGAGAGAGAGAGAGAGAGAGAAGAGAGAGAGAGAGAGAGAGAGAGAGAGAGAGAGAGAGAGAGAGAGAGTAAGGAAGAAAGGTTGGGTTGTAGCAAGTGGGAGTACCAATTCAAAAGAAAGATGGCAGAGATAGTTCTTTGGGAAAAATTCTGGGAAAATTTGTATGAGAAGATTAGTGGTGGGTTGAAATAAAAATAAAAGATGAGTGGGATGGAAGAATAGAGTGGTTTGATCAACACAAAGAAAACATAAAAGGAGTCTGATGGTGTATGTACTAAAATTAGAGAAAAATGAGTGAATTTGGAAGGATGAGGTTGGAGGTGGAAATTGAGTCATATGGTTTCATGCCTTGTGACATTTGAGACTTATATTTCACTGGTCAACGAGCAACACTTTATATGATGGATTATAAATTATTATTTTGTTATTAATATTATGATTATATTACTCTTGTTACTAATCAAATTGATTTATGTTGAAGCTTGCAAGATTGTTAGATAAAATGTGAGTATTGATATCTATGTGCACATGACATATACATATGCATTGCAAAGCAAAAAAAAGAGTTCAGTTGTGACGAGTTTTGTAAAGTGTTTGAGTTGTGAGGATATTCAAGAGCTGAAGTTTGCCTTGAATATAAAATAATGAACCTTGTATATGTCATGCGTAGGGTGCAAGGCTTGAGTATACAAATTGGTTGATTATAAAATAATGAAATCTTGTACATGTCAGGCGTCGGGGGAAGTGCCTATTTAATAAAGTGGAAACTGAGAGTTTAATTACAAATTGGGTTAAGGGATGAACGAGAGTTAACACATATTCTAAGGTATTCGGAGCCAAGTGATATAAGTATGGTATGAGACGTGTAGGCTTGGGTGCCTTAGGTATGTGTTAGCGGGATTAGAAGGGACTGACTACATTCATCTATCTCATTTGCATATATTTCATGCATTCGAAAGAATTGTTACCATTTAATTATTATTTTGTTGGTACTTTTTGTTGTGAATTAATTTGTGCACTATAGTTATTCTATTGCGTATTCAATAAATTTTAATAATTTTATTTTAATTTTTCCACCATGTCTTGGTCATAAAATTTATTTCTATAGTTAAAATATGACTCACACCCTAACTCGTGAATAATATTTATTCGCGGGTTGGGACATGACAGGAAAAGGAGTCATGGGCTTTTAATAAGTAAGCCTAATAAACAAGCCTTAAGATTTTGGGCTCATTAGAAATTAGGAGTTCACACCCAAGATTGTCCTTTAGACACCAAAACCCTAAATATTTTTTAGTAATGCTTGAAAGATTATTTTTTTAAATTGTGTTTTGTAAATTACATGATATGTTTGTTAACTGCTTAGCTTCTTTTTTAAATTCTTTAAATCTTGACATTTTATTCTATTGTCACATCATGTGATTACAAAATGTGGTTAAAATGATGGCCTCTCGAGCATTTTTCATATTTGTTTACCTCAAAATCATTTGTTTCGTTGACATAATTTAAATTAGAAAGGACAAGAAGCTTCTCACGTAATTTTACAAGAGATGAGATTCAAACTTATAAACTCTTCCAATATTGATTAGAAAAGTAACACCGAACTAAGAAGCTAACTTGTTAACATGGAGACTAAGAGGATTTAAATATAATTGATTTGAAATGATGTTAATGATCAAGATCAATCATTTATAACGCAAGAAAATAATTTTACCACGTGACTATCTCCGAGTTATATAATAAATTTTTGGCAACGTAATTTCCAACCTCAAAAAAGTAGGCATAAATAAGAGTTGGCATACATTTATTCTCCTAATTAAAAAAAAGTTTAGGGGTTGATTGGTTACTCTCACCATCAACATTAGGGCATACTCACAACTTCGGCCCAAAATAACTTATGCGTGAAACTTAACTGCCAGCTGTCATTGATATAAATTTACGTAAAAATTTATAGCTGTAATGAATATTTTACGATCTTCACTTACAAGTGAAGTGTTACTGAGCGAAAATTAGGGAAAGATAAATATTATATGATCAATAGGAATAAAAAAATAAAAAGAAATTTACGGAGAGAGAATTAATTTTTAGGGTAAATTACATAGTAGCCCCTCATGTTTGAGGTTTATTACAACCCCATACAACATCTTTTCATTGATCCGTTAAGTGTTGACGTGGTTGCCACATTTGTGCCACGTGGCTGCCAAATGTGTGTCACGTGGCAAAATTTTTTTTTAGAAAAACCTTAATCTTCAACAAAAAAAAAAAAAAACTTAGAAAACTCAAATCCCATCACCCCACCCCTTCCCCCCTGCCCCCCCCGACTGCTCGCCGAAACCCCATCCCCTTCATCATCTTCCCCATCCGTTGTCCCTCCCAGCAACCCAAATCCAAAACCACTCCCACCCATCCTTCACATCCTCCTCCGCACCCATCTTCCCATCTCCCCTCCCACCTGAGCCCAACCTGCAACCCAGAAAAAAAAAATACCCATCTTCATCTTCCCCGACCCCCCTTCCCTACAACCCACCCTTTTCTTCTCCCTCCCGTATTCCCCAAACCCACCGTGCACCCATCCCCCATCTCCTCCTCCACACCCACTACCTACAACTTAGAAAAGAAAAAAAAAATCCATATCCCTTTCCCTGCAACCTAGATCTTGTCTTCTCCAATGGGTGTGGATTTAAAGAGTGGGGTGTATAAATGAGGGGAAAGGGTGGGTGCGAGGGTGGGTGCAAAGGGTAGGTGCGCGGGTGGGTGCAGAGAAGAACGTGGAGGATGAGTACGATGGGTTTGGGGAAGACGGGAGGGGGGTCGGGGAAGATGAAGATGGGTTTTTATTTTTTATTATTTTTTCCCCTTGTTCTTCTTCTTCTGGGTTGCAGGTTGGGTGGGGGAGGGAGGGAGGGAAGACAAAGTGGGGGTTGCGAGGAGGTGCGTTTCAGCTTTTGTTTTGTTTTGTTTTTTATTTTATTTTTTTATATATTTATTTAGAAGATTCCGGTTAAAAAAATTAAAAATTATTTTTTTGGCCACGTGGCACAAATTTGGCAGCCACGTGACACAAATGTGGTAGTCACATTAGCGTTTAACGGATCAATGGATGAAAAATGTAACAGATGTATTATTTTGAAATAAAATAGTACGTGAGATATGAAAGTGAAATATTTTAAAAATGTCTTATGGAGTTTTAATAAATCTCAAATCTGAGGAACTACCATGTAATTTATCATAATTTTTATTTTCTTTGCTTTGACGAAGCCGTTCACGCGCTAAAAAGAGGGTGACCAAAATGGTCTTTGCATGGCAACAAACACACCTCCCTCTGTTTCCGGGAAAGTGCACGTGTCAACAAGTCACTGTAAGCTGGCTCCACAGATTACGTGGCAGACCCCCATTGGCGTATATCATTTGGCGAAGATCCCATCAGAGCCGTCCGTATGATCCGACCGAAGCCGACATACTACCTCTGTCTGACCGTTAAGAGAGAGAACAGAGTCTTACAGAGGAAGAGATAGGAAGAGAGAGGGAGAGGGGGTCAGCTTTCTCTACAGGTATGTTTTTTTCTCCCAATTTTCCTCTTCAATTTTTTACCTTTTTATTTCCACTATTCAGTATAATTATTATTAAATAATTACTAATTAATTTAGCTAATTACGGTTCCTGTTGCTCGAATTCAATTGCTTTTTCAGTGCTTGAATTTGGTTGATTTAACTGTATACAACTGCCATTGGAGCTTCGTGTTTAGGGTTTTAAGTTCGTTTGCGGGTTTTGATTGTTTTTTCTTTGAGGAAATGCTTACACGATTTGAGAGTAGTTGTTTTGGTCAATGGGGTTTTGGAACTTAGAAGCTTTTCGTAATGAGTCACTTGGTTTGGTTTGGTTGACTTCAAATCTCGAGCTTTTACTTGGAAATTTCGGAGCTTTCGCATTGGGGTTTTCGATTTTGTGCCTGTTTAGGTAATCAGTATGTTATCTTTAGTGTGCGTGTGTATTTGTGGTTATTTTTCTGTTTTTAATTCATAAAATTTTTTCTAGAAATATGGTTTTTGAAGAAGAAATTATGCATTTTTAGTAGATTTTGGAATCGGCGTTTGAGTTTACTTAGATTTCAACGAGATGGTATTGTAAATTTTGAGGTCAAAGGCCATTTTGGATGGATTTTTCTGTTCCTTGATTCGGATTCGGATATATCATGTTTGGATCATTTCGTAGAATGCATAAATCTGTAAACACAATAATTTTGACTTTTAGATGGTGATTTGAGCAGTGGGGTGCTGAGGAGGCTGTGGCAGTGTTGTGGCGGCATGAAAGCTTTCTGGTTAGTAAGGGAATTTAAATAGCCTTGTTAATGAGCCTTGTTTGTTGGGTTAGTTTACTTGTTTTAAGGATAGCCCAGTGTTTGACTTAGTTAGGTTTCATTTCTTGAAGTTGAGATGAAAAGTATCATCGCAGCTCATTTATATTTGGGAAGGAGGGAAGATTCTTTCTTTTTTCGGATGGGAAGAAGGGAATTTAAACATGCGGGATGTAGTGAATATTGTGCAGCTGTTTAATCATGTTGAGTGGATGGTATCCATCAATGTGATCCCTGACGTTAAAGGGTGTCTTACGTTGTTGTCGTCACACAGGAGAAACAAACTATATATGTGGTTGTATTTGCAAAACTGTAGCATCTTCTTTTGGAAGTTCAGTTTTAGATGGATTTATTGAATATTTTACTTTTTAATGGATGACCTCAGCATCTGATGCAAGAGAATCAGCAGTTGATTACGATATTCTTTTACATTGTTACTGATTGTTGTGGGGAAGATAACTTTGGTAACTAATTAACTCATTTCCCAATTTACTAGGTGAAATCTTGCTTTTCTACTTGTTGATTACCGTGTGTAGTTTATCTGTGTGCAAGTTACTTTATTTGCGTGCTGACGAGCCTTAATTTTTTTCCTCCACAAACAGATACATTAGCGACAGTTCGACACAGTTTTTGGAAAACTTCAAAAAGCTTGGAGCTTAGATTGCTAATCATCAATACTATGAATCTTTGATTAGATACCCCAGACAGAGATACGTGGACCCCACTACAAACTGTATGTTGCTTAATTTCTCTACTGCTTGGTTCCCTTTGTTACGGTTTCTTTTAGATTGGTATCATTTACTTTATTCTTATCTTGATTTTTTTTTTCTGACAGAGAGTTAAGATTGTGGTGCACATCACAAGTACAGATCAAATGCCATCTTTCAAGATGAAGGCTCAATCAAGCATGGGATGTTTACGAGAAAAAAATGGTCTCCGTGTATGTCAAAGGTCAAGTGTGATTTCCAAGAATTCTCATGCTAGGAAATCAGAACATTCAGAAGATTTTGACACTTGTAATAATTGTCAGGAGGGTAAGAAACCAAACATAAAGAAGTTGAAGTTTGTCCTATCATATAGTATTATAGTAAAGACTTCATTATGTATCTTTGTATTGATGTGATCAAGCTATCTCATACTGCCTATCCAGATTTCAACATTTCACGCAAGTTTCTGTGGGTATTAGGAATATGGTAAACTATGATACTAGGTTGCACTGCTTAGCAAAGTCTGGAAAAAAATGCAGAATTGCAAAGTTTGTGTTAATTTTCCATGAATTTGAGCTCTCTGGCTTTCTAGTTTTGTAATTCCAGACTTTTTAGCAATGGAGGTCTCAATGAAGGACATTGATTCAGTCCATGCACAACTATCTGCATCTAAATTGTTTGTTTAATTATTAATATTAGAGCTTCTTATTATTCTCATAGTTTCTTCAAGCACACAAGTTTCTACTATAGAAATTGGAAGTGATGAGGCAATTGAACATCAGGAACTTCTGGGTGAACAAACTGGTCAAATTCAGAAGCAGTCATGTGATTCTCCCACCAAAAGAATGGCAAGTATTTATTTTGAAGTTACGGTGTTGTGGGTACCTTTTTTTGAGTTTGTCATTTCACAGTGCATTGCCTTTAATTTCATGAAGTTTGAGTAACCTGTAAATGAAAATTCATTATTCTCATCTTTGTGTTCTTGCTCAAGGTTTTCTAGAATTGCACCTTGTGGGCCTTAAAATTCCTTATAAGCTTGTACACCAACGGTTGTTTATTAATTCCAGGACTCCTGTCAGGCCTGCCCATCAGACATAAAGACAATTTTCTCTCCTGCTTTGGAGTCGAGTGAAGTGAACGGCGAACAAAATAGTGAACCACATGCTGACATTGATGCAGGTATGTCTCAAACTCAGTTGATTGAACGTATAGAGAATCTACTGGGTATTTGTGGTTTTGCCATTGAAACCCCAGCCAACGTTGAATAAAACAACCCCTTCCCAGTTCTTTTTTACAATTAAAAAAGGAACAAATAGGATAGGTATGTGTTAGCCTGGAACCAAGTGGAACCAAGTGTAAAGCTATCCTCAAACTTTATTCAGTATATTAGGTTATTTGACCAATAAAATTCAACCACTTTCGGGTGGTAAACTGGTAAACGTTTTCATTTAAATAATCTAATCTTCCTTGTCATTTAATGTAATGTAATGTTACATGTTCAGACGAGAGATAATATCTAATATGCTAATCTTGTCCTGCCTTTTCAGTGTTAGGAGCTGGTGACAGTGATGATAACGGACGTTCATGTGATAATCGAACTTGTGATGTATCAGATTTCTACATTTCTGACATGATAATATCAAGCTTACCCTTCGACGAGAATGCATTTCATGATGATATAAGTGAAATGAATTGCTTCCAAGACTACAAATCAGCTGAACCAAATATGTTTTTTGATGTGTCTGAGCAATACATGATGTTGCCTTTCCTAGAAGACACAATCAGAAGCAGTAATTTTAATACTAATGATGACAAATCATGTGAAGAAGCCATGATAGATACAAATTGTGCTGAAATGTATTTGGGAATTGGTCAGATGAGCCCCTGCAACCTGGAAACGGTTGTTAACTCTTCTGACTCAGATCAGGCAGAGTCCTTTGATCCACAGTTGTTCATAAAAAACTTACCAGAATTATCAGAGGTGGTATCAAATTATCAACCCAACATATTGCCCGAGGAAGCTTCAAAAAGAAAGTCTGTAACTCTTGTACTTGATTTGGATGGTAAGTAATGCTATACGCATGTGTTTTCATATGGTTATGTGCTATCTTGTCATCATTTAATGTTACATCAGACATATATTTTAGATCATTTAATGTTACATCGGACATATTTTTAGACCAGTTGGTTCATTTTAATTGCTACTTTTGGAAATTTTACTTGTTAAATGTTATCTTAAGACTTAAATGACAAATATTATTTAATTTTCCTAATGAATTTATATTGAAATCATTTAGTTCCCTTAACAAGTTCATCAAAGTCCATTGATCTACGCTCCTGGTAGAGAACCTCGTCGTGAACTCTACATGAAGATGGTATACTAACAAAATGCCTACAAGTCAAAATTGAAAGCCAAAATGTTGAAAATTACTAATGATCAAAGTCCATTGATCTACGCTCCTGGTAGAGAACCTCGTCGTGAACTCTACATGAAGATGGTATACTAACAAAATGCCTACAAGTCAAAATTGAAAGCCAAAATGTTGAAAATTACTAATGAAGTGGTGGAAAATTTTGTGTTACCCATTTCCGGTCTCAGTGCAACATTTTAGGATTCTATCCATTGTTTAGTTGAAGTTTTGGCACATTCACTCTCTTTATACATAGGTGTGCAAGAAAACCTTATCTCTTAGTATCATACATAATGCTATATATAAAATGTTATATATATATGTTTATAGTTCAGTCTTTTGCTCATAATGACAAACTGTGACCCAGTTCGGTGAACAGTGTTAAAAAAAAAGAAAAGGTTTTCAGTTAATTTTGTCTCAAATGTGTTGACAAGTTGTAAATGCAGTTAATAGTGCTTATATAGGACCTGTGATTGGTTGGTATATGTGTGCCACATATACAATCTGGCCTCTGTCTAGAAAGCAAATCTCTTATTCTTTCAGTTTATACCTTACACGTGAACATGTTCACATGTACGTATGTGAGTGTGTGCTTGCCTGTCCATGGCCACATTAATACATTCATATGTATATATGTGAGTGCTTGTGTATTTATAATTTAGGCATAGAATACAGTACACCAAGGCTCAAAGAATGTTATTTTTCCTTTTTCGTTTCTCTATTTGGTTGACTTTTGTCTGATCTTTTGGGAAATATTTAATCAGTCAGAAATACTGTTTCCAAATACGATATAAATGATAAGGTACAAATGCGGACCACCATACCAATTATGCCCTTAGCAGGGATAGATCAAGTAGGGTTTCCGCAGATCCAGTCTTCTACTTAGATATTTTTCAGTTTAATCTCAGTGTGATTTTTAGAGTTCATTTGAGAAATGTACGTTGATGATAGGTTGCTGAAATGTAATGTTGCTATGCGTGCAGAAACACTGGTTCATTCTACATTGGAACATCGAGATGACGCAGACTTCACATTTACTGTCTTTTTCAACATGAAAGAGCACACGGTATATGTGAAGCGGAGGCCTCACCTGCAAACTTTCTTGGAGAGAGTTGCAGAAATGTTTGACGTTGTTATTTTTACTGCCAGCCAAAGCATATATGCAGCGCAGCTTCTTGATATATTGGATCCATGTGCAAAGTTTATATCTCGCCGAGTTTATCGTGAATCATGCATTTTCTTGGATGGCAGTTACACTAAAGATTTGACAGTTTTGGGTGTTGATCTTGCGAAAGTTGCCATAATTGATAATACTCCACAGGTATAGCCCTTGGGCTTTTGTGTTAATCGCTTGGAATTTACTTATTTTTTCATCTGCCTTATTTTTTGCTTGGGAGCAGCCTCTCCATAAATGGGGGTAAGGCTAGCCGACATTCACCTCTCCCAGACCCTGCGTAAAGCGGGAGCCTTGTGCACTGGGTACGACGACCTTATTTTTTGCATTATGGGTTGTTCTATTGCTTGAGAACTCACACTTTATTTCAGATTCTATATTATTAATTTCTTCTTTTGCCTAAATAAAAATTTATGATTCGAAAAGTACTCTTTATGTTTTTGAAGCTGGCAGTTGCAGTGGGTACTAAATAAAAACTGGTCTTATTCCTGGTGAAAAAAAAAATAACCCTAGTCGTACCAAAATATGTAAGTAGGCAAAAAAGAGGAGAGAGATGAAGAAAGGAAGAAAGTGATAATTAGCCTACTATACTTGTACCTGCAAAATAATCATAAAGGCAGAGAGAAAAAGTGAAAAGAATGAACCTTGTTATTACTGAAGAAACTGATTGTTTTACCTTTATTCTCTTTTGACTATTTCAGGTCTTCCGCTTGCAAGTTAATAATGGAATTCCTATAAAGAGTTGGTTTGATGATCCGTCTGATAGTGCTTTGATTTCGTTACTTCCCTTCTTAGAGACCCTGGTTAATGCTGATGATGTTCGTCCTATAATTGCCAAAAAATTCGGTTACAAGGAATAAGAGTCACTTGCCTTCTCACTTGCTTGAATATAGAAGCTCATTGCCCCCTCTCATCCTTTTTAGCAAATATTGGCCTCTAATCTAGATGCTCATCGTTCTTTTTCTTTTAAGCTCATGAGATAAATAGCTATAGAATAAGCTCTTACTTTACCTTTTGTTAGCGTGCTGGTTCTTGTTCCCTTATTTTCTGCGTTTCAGCTGACAACACTGTGGAATGGGTTGTCTGATTTTTGTTCAAAGGTAATTGTAGAGAAAGTCTTATTTATCCTTATTGTATAGTTTTAAGTTTTGCTTATCAGGGTGTACACATGGGAAAATTTATCTATACAATCTTGGTCTTTAATTGGGATGCTCCACTTTCTTTTCACTTGATCTCGTGAGATTTAGTTATGCAATTAAATCTTCTTTTCCTTATTGGCTGTCAGCTCTTCGATCCTGTTTCCTTGTTTTCTTCCTTTCAGCTGACAACACTGCAGAATAGTTTGTTAGTTTTTGTTCCAAGGTAACTGTATGGAATGCCTATTTTGCTCTTATCAAACAATTTTAAGTTGCTTTCTACGGTATGCATGAACGCTATAATTCTTGAAAACGTGACTTCTTACTGACTTTTGCCGCATATATCACACAGCTTTTGATACATTGTCTTAAATAAATAACATTAACAATGCAAGTATGCTAGCACTTGAAAGCTGGAACTTTGGGCTTGATCTGGTCATTTTTAACTCTTAATATTTTGTTATACTTTCCTTTAATTATAAGATTATGTTTCGTAGAAAAGTAATTAATATCTTGTGTAAAAACTCAAAGTTGAGCCTGTGATACTGCATATCTGTGATTCTGTAGTAAATAAACAGTTCATAAAAATTTATACTGAGGAAAAAAAATGGAAGTGCTACAATAATTAATGGCATTGAATACTTTCTGAACTTAAAATTAAGTCATGCTTCTGATGAAATGATTTCTCGTATTATGCTAAAATGGAGTTGAGAACTTTTCTGTAGTTCTGTGAAGGTTTGGCCCTTCTGGATAAGAAACAAGAAACAGGGAGGAACACAAAGAGGAGGACAAACTACTTGTGCATCCTATGTCTACAGGGCATCATGTTCCCAGAAGATTTGTTCGTACGCTTTGATGGACTGACTTTTTCTGGTTTACTATGTTCTAGAAATTAGTTTTTAGTTTCATTTTCTTTTCCTGAAGAGTTTAAATAACCGGAGCTCCATTTCTCAATTAAATCAAAATAGCTTGAAACGGAAATGTGAGGGGAAGTGATTTGACTATGCATCACATCAAATTAGGTATTGTCAATTTTGTTTTCTGATTAGGAATTCAAACCTTTGAATAATACATCACAGATTGTATGTTTAAGTGAATTATATACTATGATTCAAGATTACTCTCGTAAATATATTTAAGTGAACTATATGTACTGCATGGTGGCATAGGAAGTTCAGGTTAAGTATAGGCATGTTTCTACCCCACGAGGATATGGGGCATGAAATCCAGCATTATAAACTGATTTAGGTCATACTCTTCATTAGATGCTGAACTGACTGACCTCTTAAATGGAAAACCGTCGTGAGGATGCTTGTTTTTTGTGCATACAAAGATAATGCATGAAGTATTGACAGGATCGGCCTCCTGCATAGTTTTCTGCTATCCTGTTGAGAGGGCTGTGCAGATAGTGGAGACAAAAAGGGTTCGAATATCAGAGAGATTAGTTGGGTTTTTAAATTAGCTTGACTAACACTGCTGTTCTTGATCTTCTGCAAATTTAGTCTCTTTGCGCTTTTACAACTTTGCATGCGTTGTCTGCAGGTCACGCGGAGAACACTAACACATTTTCTGGTAATGTAAGTCAGTTGTCGAGTTCTGTTGCTAGTTACTTCTTGATAAGTCTGTAGAGACTTGTATTATAAAAGCATAGAATTTTACTTCAAGTGACGTTTGCAACGGGTGGTTGTGTAATTCCTGTTTAGATAATCGCAGTCTTTTCCGTTCGTTGCTTCCCCCTTCATTTGCTTGTTTCATACTTGCCAATGGCTATGATTATCTTGAATATAAATACAAGTATAGCTGCTGCTGGTTGTTTTCTTTTATCGTAACATTATGGTTCGATAAATCTGAGAATACATGCTTCCACGGCCATGAACAAGCAACGGCGAAGCTACGAATTGTGGAATGTTCAGTATGCTGTTCAACTGGCACCAACATCCTTCTAACATACATCGAAATTTGACAAATTCATGTTGGAAGCCTTTTTGCAACGCAAAACCGTGGCTCAATATACAAGGGCCAGCCTCTGCTGGCTGAGAAGAGCTCGTCCCTTGCATTTTCCTTTTCATACAACTTATTCTACGACCTCGTCATTTTTCTTCCAGAGAATTTTTACAAGAAGTGCTACAAAATTGTGGTTTTCGAAACATTTTTTTCGTTTTTGACTCGCTAAGTAGTGAGAAAACACTTGTCATCACACACTGCACATGTTATAATATGGTGTGAACGATATAATCAATAATTCATTCTACAAATATTGATAAAAAAACTAAATAACGTGTTATAATTTTAGTGGAATCCTCATGTGATGGTGTTCTTGATACACCAAAAAAAGTCCTAATTCCCTAAGTAGCCAACACCTACGAGCTAGTCCCTTGTTGCTGATGCTGAATCACCAACACACTGAATTTGCAGCAATAATCCGCCGAGGCAAGCATGTCGCCAATGACACCAAGTTCAGGGAACTCACTCCATTGCTCAAGACCCAATGTCTGAGGGCTTCTCATATTGTATCTTCTCCCGACTATGTACAGGTCGTATTCATCCTCGTCCATCAACGACCGTATTTTCCTTGTCGTTTGAGTGCTGTCGGCCACGTGTTCTTCTACATAACTCACGTACCCTGTACCATTATGCCTTACTTCCTTCAACATCTCATTGTCCTGCACCACCTCCCATTTGGTGAAACTTTCTTTGTCCTCGGACGCGTACACTAGCCGAATCACCGTCAGGCTAATGCACGCGTCCCTAAGCATGCGTTTCGCGAACATAAGCGCCTCCCAGTCGTCACTCCCTCCGATGAAAACCAATGCAACTCGATACGTTTCTGCAGGTGATACTGAGGAGTTGGTGCATTTTACGTGACCGCGGTTCACAAGAATGCCAACCGAACACGGCGCGGTTTCAAGCACCCGACAATTGAGCGTCCTTGCGGCTTGGTTTTCCGACTCTATAGACCCGTTAGTAACCGACCACTTTCGATGGAACGGCAGGATTATGAGCGATGTGTTTTTGTCCAGCGCGAGGGTGCATACGTCGTCGTACATGTATAGGGATGGAGATATAGCCGTAAATACATGCACGAAGACTGCTTCTTCATTCTCTTTCATAAACTGAACGAACGAACGGATGATGTTATCGGAGTACGAATAATTGGAGAGGGCTCTTGTTTGTAAGTTGTGTGAGATTAAGACGGAGGTGGTTCGAGCAACTAGCTCGATGAGGTGAAGAACGTAGAGGCCGATGGGGCTTTCTCGAGTCGGGCACGAGGCATCGATAAGGTTGATGATGGCGGGGGTGTTATCAGCTCTGTTGATGCATGCGAGAATTCGGAGCTCCGAATTGGGTTTGGAATTGAGAAGGGCTTTTCTGTGGTAGCCTGCATATTTTTTCTTAGGATCGTACAAGTACTTCACAAGAGGTGGCACGACAATTGCACTCAATAAAACTGTGAACATCATATGGTTAAAGACCCCAGAAACTATAACCTGCGCATAACAAAAGAAAACCATGGAGAACATGAATGTGTTAGAGGTCGGGTTCTACTTCTATTAGAGAGATTGTTAGCAATAAAAAAATTATAGTGTGCCATAACAATACAACATGGTATAATGAACCTAATCAAATTCTGACAAGAGTTTGTTATAATTAATATTTTTGTAGCATTTTGTTGTAATATTGAGGTCAAAATATGAATGTGCATTTGAATTTTACTATTATTAAAGATGTGGTCAATAATATAGAAAAATCAGTTTGCGACAACAATTACACATAGTCTAATAAATCTATTCAGACTAAACAAGTATTATTTATAGTTTATATCTTGATTCCTAACCCCATATTCATGTCACTTAATATGATAGAGTTGATGTAAAAATTTACGTACCCAAGTGTCTTTAGCGATGGTGTATGCAGCTATCTCGACAACGCCTTTGCTGGTCATTATGAGAGCCAGTGCCACTGCATGCCTCAAAGGCATCTTGCAACACAAAGGAGTCACCATAGAGGCTGCAAATTTGCTCAAGAAAATCACAAAAGTAACAATGGCGGTGCCTAATACCACCCTTCTATGAGCCGGAGGCATTTCTAAGGATACAGTAACCCTCATCAAGGACGTGGTCACAAAAACTGGCATGAAAACCCTATTGACCATAAAGTCAAGCTTTTTGACCAAAGTAGCTCCTAGTGGGGGCCCATCTGGCACTGCGAACCCTAAGATCAAAGGCCCGATCACGATCGGGAGCTCACACCAGTGGGAAAACAATCCAGATCCCAAAAATGCCAGCAGGATGAAGAAAATGTATGAATCCTTAACAGGGCTGCCTTCAGGGGTTCTTTTCACAATCCAAAACATTATTGGACGGAAAACACAGAAAACAGATAAAGTATAGATTATCATCACCCCAATGTCCCTCATGCCCCTCCATGCATCGTTCTGTAAGACTTTCACCAACGTCGCACAGTAGTTAGGGCAATGCTAAAGAAATCACAGACGAGTGCCGAAGATAATGCGAGCCGGCCAAGTTCGGTATTTAGGATCTTGAGCTCGGTGAGGAGGCAAGCAATGACGGTAGACGGAGCCTGAATATGCATTGCTGTTACGAAAATAAGCTGCACGACTTCGTCCGCGTTTAAGGACCACTCCCAGGTGAGGAAGAGCAGCGTTAAGAAGCCGGCTATTAGAGGCACCACCAAGGTTAACACGCCGTTGTAGATAGCCTTTTTTCCGATTTTTGATACTAATCCCAAGTCTATTTTGACTCCGATCAAGAAGCTGAAGAGTGTGAATCCAAACAGTGATATTACGTTGAGTACTTCCTGATTAGTAAAAGGAAATATGGGATTCTCTTGTTCAGGACGAAAATGTTGGATCACTCTGTCAAGTCCTGCATCACCAAGGAGTATTCCAGCCTGTATGGTTCAACCAAAATAGAGAAAATATGTGTCCGTTAATTGTTCAAATATTGTCACCGCTATTGTAAATATAATTACCAAAACTGTTATTCTTACTACCTAGTTGTACCATCTCTTTAATAGAGATAAAACTCACATACGTTCGCGAGCTCTACCTCTATTAGAGATATAGTACAAATAAAGGTACAAATAAGTTGTAAGTGTAGCACCACTCATAATTCACTCATGAGTTAATTAATGAAGAAAAAAAAAACCCACGGTTTCTAGGTAAATAAACTCAAATAAATTTGGTGTGACCATTTTAGTTTTGTCAATCGCTATATATTAAACTTGGCACCAAAAACTTGTCCGACGAATATAACCTTGCCCTATGACTTTGTTCCTTCTTGTAAAGATTTTGAATAAACCCTAAATGTTGACTAGTTTTGTCCTACAACTGAAAATTTTGTCGACAAAATGTGGTTTATCGTGAAAGATTTTGTAGGGCAGCCCTATTTTCTGGTAGCGGGAGAGGGAGTTTGTTTTTGTGGGATTTGTGACAGTAGGGCGATCGGCTAGCTGTCTCATATCTCACACAAAACAAAATTCCGTTCCTGAATCCACCTGTTTGTTACTATTATTTTATTTCTAATAATTAAAGCCTAAATAAGTGACCGCGTAAGACAATTCGGACATTCCCATGGACGACTATCAACTATAATGTACTGCATTATGTGAGATGGATATATCTATGATTATTTAACCTAGACCGACCATAGAGATGAAACCAACAAAAAAAAAAAAAAAACTTGAATGCATGGGAACTAAAGGCACATGATAAATGTAGAACGTACGTACCACAAGTTGAGCGGCAAGCACTGGGAGGCCAAACATATTGAGAAACAAATGGGTGAGTTGGGTGACGATGTAGATGAGAGTCATTTCAAATTCCAGAACTGGGAGGGTGTAGTTCTGCAACGGAAACGAGAAATGCAGGAGCGATGCATTAACACTCACCCGACTAGTTTGTGATGCATTCCATATGCCTATTGAATTAACACGACGCGGAAATACCGTGCATATTGTGACAGGATGATGAATCACATTATTCATTTTTTCTTGGTATGAATTTTCGCCACTGCTCTACTAGAAGACCAAGAAGATGAGATTTGAACTTGAAACCTCTTCCAACCCCAAAAAGAATGTCGTAGCACCAAACTAAGAGCTAGTCTATATATGGTATTTACATGTACGTGCAACGGTAATAGTTGGAATGGGCGGTCTGTGTTAGCTAGGTTTAGCAAGAAAGCTGTCATGAACAAGTTTTTTAACAGAATAACAGTCACCACCGCTTTTGACCGTCTGTAACTTTTCTAGAAGTGCCTTAGGATGTCAAAAAGGTTATTTCTGTTATTGATAAGACATATAAGTTACAAATGGTTTCACCAAGGAGGTTTCCCGCTCAGGTTGCTGCGACTAAGAATGGACGGTCTGTGTTAGCTGGAAGAGTTGGGATTCATATCCAACTCTTCAACTGATAATTCATTGTATTTTCTTGTATTTTTTCAGTTTTGTAAAATTCTAATTCGAGTAAGTTTCCTTAATTTATGTAATTCCCGTCTATAAATACAATGACCTAAACTCACTCAGAATTAACCGAGTTGAGCATCAGCAACTCTTTAGCTTTCAAACTCTTATGCGTGAATATTTCTGTTATATGGTATCCATGAGCAAATCAGTCTCACGACAAAACAAACAATTTTTTTTCTTCAGCAATGGCCTCCTCAGACTCCTCCTCCTCTCCAACCCTACCCATCCCCACTCTCCCTAATGTCTCCAATTTTCTGACGATCGAGCTTGATCGTACAAATTACCCACTTTGGCAAGCACAAATGCTGCCCTTGCTTCGCAGCAGGAACCTTGTTCCCATCGTCGATGGCACCAGTCAATGCCCTCCCGCATTTCTTAAGGACAGTGATGGCAATATTACTTGACACCGTCAATCCGGCCTTTGAGGCCTGGATTGACGGTGTCAGTAATATTGACGTCACTGTTCTTAAAAAATGCGGCAGGGCACTGGCTAGTGCCATCGACGATGGGAACAAGGCTGATCGTCAGAAAATTGGAGACATTAGGGAGAGGGGGGATGGGTAGGGTTGGAGAGGAGGAGGAGTCTGAGGAGGCCATTGCTGAGAAAAAAAAAAATTGCCATCCTGCTGAATCCAGGCCTCAAAGGCCGGATTGACGGTGTCAAGTAATATTGCCATCACTGTGCTTAAGAAATGCGGGAGGGCATTGACTGGTGCCATCGACGATGGGAACAAGCTTCCTGTTGCGAAGCAGGGGCAACAATTATGCTTGCCAAAGTGTGTGATTTGTACGATCAAACTTGATCGTCAGAAAATTGGAGACACTAGGGAGAGTGGGGATGGGTAGGGTTGGAGAGGAGGAGGAGTCTGAGGAGGCCATTTCTGAGAAAAAAATTATTTGTTTTGTCCTATGTTATAATATGCACACGACTATCCACCATTTTTGGCTTGATTTGTATGTAAATTTTCTCATAGTTATTTTTCAATGAAATGTGAGATTAAATTTAGGGAATTTTAACGAAAAGCTCCCGGTACTGTTCATTTTAACGAAAAACAATATTTTTACACTACAAAGTTAATCATGATACTATTTACTTTAGCCTTTATTTTATCCTTATTGTTAAAACTCAAAATTTTCAAGTCTTTTTCATTAATTTTCCTTTAAATTTATCAGTTTATACTATGTTAAGAGGAAAAGGTTCAAGACAACCATGAAGATAAAAAAACTTAAAATCCACCAAAGGAATCATATTGCACAATATTTAGATGCGTCTCATTTTCCACCGAGTTGAAATTAGTGAATCCTCGTTGTTTTCGTGTTATAATTGAAACTGTAATAGATCACAATCACAAGATTATCTCTTTTAAAAAATTAAATTAAATTAGAAATTGTTTAGTTATTTATATGTATCACACAAGTGCACAGCTTATTATTGTTAAAGCTTAAATTTGGTGAGGCTAACAACGACTAGTATAGTTGTGTAGTTGGTCCTTGTTGGCCTCGATAGCAGAATGATAAGAACTGAACAACATTATTTAAGTGGTTCACCCCTCAAAACTGGGCTTCGTCCACTTTTTTCCTCAATTAGTCAGACCTGTTATAGGGAGTACCCATCCTCCTTAAATAGGCCCTCATTGAGCCCCAAATCTTTGGACTCAAGTCTTCCACCACCTTTGTATTTAATGCGTCAAATACGTAGGCCTGACCTACTAGCTGCCATTCTGTTCTTTAATCGACACGTGGTAGCTAAGTGACATCTATCTAGGTCCACTTGTAAGTTTTCTTGGGCAACGCGTACCGAGTGCCTTGCTCGACCCTGAAATTGGTGAGAGTCCACACTTGAGCACTTAATATGTCAGTCTTTAGTCCCTTTATGGGCTTATGTTCTTTCTAATAGTCATCACGTAACCTGGAGTTGATGTTTGAGTAGGCTTGTCTCTAAGACTTTGTGTTATAAACTTGTCAGTACACCAACTCGTTCCGGGTAGTTGGAAAGTACTTTACGAGGAAGCGCTCGGTTTCGTTGCTTGCAAACAAACCAAACCGTCAAGCGATCATTCGTAGTGCTCCAAGGTCTTCCTTTGAGCCTTTAGGAGTGGAAAAAGACCATGCGTTAACAATTATGAGAATTAATTTGTTTAGCCAAAATGTCATAAGAATCTCAATTGTTAACAAAATTGTTAATTTTTTCGATACATATTGATGCCTAAACATGTTAACACAATCACATCAATTAAAATTATCATATTGAAGTAAATCAAATGAATCTATAATACAAACTGTTTCATCACTTAATCAGATTAAACAAACCACAAAAACCTAATCTCAACCTCAAAGTTAAAAGCAAGGAAGACGGCCATATGATAAGAACACACCTTAACATTACACGTACTAAAAAGTATCCGCAACAAAATTAGCTTAACAAAGAATAAAAACATTTTTCATTCATTTGATTTCGATCTAAGCCAAAAAATTGTAATTTCACATCCAGCTAGAGAAATTTTTTCAAGTGCCAAGTATTCAAACATAAATTTTATGTGTCATAAATAAGGGAAAGTACACAAAAATTATATCATTTTATTTTCTCGTATTATAACATGTAAAGTACCGTTTTAAACTTGATATTTTGAAAATATCTCTCATCCTACCTGTGTATGATGTGACCTAGAACCGCAAACCCCGCACGTGTACGGTCGCCGTGGATCCAAATTATTTGCCGCGAAATAGTGAACCACACTAGTGTTTGTCTCTTTATTGTGCCCTCGAAGCCAAAAGCAGCAAGCAGAAAGCAGAAGAGTTCGAAAACTACAAAAATGGCGACTCTCTCACTCTCCTCCACTTCACCACCGACTGTCTCTCTCTACAGCGTCGGCAGCAGCGGCGCTACCACCTCCAAATTCTCCGCCTTTCAACATAGGCCGGCCAAGCTCTCTTGTCTTCGTCTGGGCTCACTCCACCGCAACCCTCTCAGGTAATCTCGTTATTTCACTCTCAATGCTTCAGATATCAATCGATCTGAGAGTGCAACGCTGTTGTTTTTGTTTGGCGCAGAGTTTCGATTGGTGGAAAGAAGGAGTTCGTGGTGATGAAGGGTAAGAGGAGGGGATCGGGTGCGATGTGTTACACTTACGCTGCACCTCTCTCTGTCAACACCCTCCAGTTTATCTCCACCATTTCTACTGCGTAATTCTCTCTCTCTCTCTCCCCCTCGACAACATTGGATTTTAGTAAAAACCCTTCAAACTCAATATTTTTGAGAAAAAAAAAATCCAGCTGATTTTGTAATGGGAAAAAGAAATTTCAAAACTAAGAATCAATTAGAGCATGACAATTGATGAAGATGGTTTTTTTTTTTTTTTTTTAATTTTTAAATTTAATTTTATTGTTGTTGTGGGGTGTTTTTCTAATAGATCTTTTGAGATTCCATGAAAGTTTTCTGCTTTCAGTATTGAGATGTTGAGTGAGATGGATTAATGGGTAATTGGGTATTCAAATTTCTTACATTTCCAGGGTTCTGTTGCTTGCAAAAGGGACTGCTGTTCAGAAATCATTTCTTGTTCCCTTATTTCTTCTACAAGCGCCGGCTGCCGTCATCTCATGGATTAAGTAAGCATTTCAAAAACTTGGGGTTTTCTTCTTTCCATTTCTTGTTTTTTATTGCTAGAAAGTTTTTTTCTTGGTATCCTGTGGAGCACGTTTGCGGTCTAAGCTTAAATGTATAACTTGGCTGACATTCATGACTTTGGCTTGCAGGGGTGAATATGGTATCTGGGCTGCATTCCTAGCCCTTCTTGTCCGTCTCTTCTTCTTTATTCCCGGTAGGTTCTCTTCTGAATTCTGATTCCCTGGTTTGAGTGTTAGGCTAGACAATGCTAAACGGGGAGAGTATTCTTGTTTTCTCAAATGATAGTTTCTAATTACGACATGGTTTGTTGGTTTTATTCAATTCACTAATGGGGATCAACCCATTTCTCGTAATCTACCCATCTTTGGGGCTATTATAGTATTTGAAGATGCCCTTATTTTCAATATGCTGACTTTTAAGTTTGGTCTGAAATTGGGAGTCATATTTTGAACCATGTCCGGGTCATAGGTATAAGTTTGGTCTGAAATTGGCACTTCTCTAAGTCTTATTGAGGTGTGTTAATATAGTGGTGCACTTGCCATATCAATTATCCTCTTGTCAATTATTATTATATATGGTCTTATTTTGTTCTTTCTCAGGGGAACTTGAGTTGCCATTGACAGCAGTACTCCTGGTGATTGTGGCTCCTTACCAAGTTCTGCATATAAGGTGCGCAAATGCATCGTTTAAGACGAACTTTTGCCAATTATCAGTGATTTTCTTGCTTCTTATGTTTCAATGTGTTCCATTGGCAGGGGAAGACAAGAAGGTGCTATTATTGCACTGGTTGTTGCAGCATATTTGGCTTTCCAGCACTTCTCACGAATAGGAAGCCTGCAGAGATCATTTGAGCGAGGTTCAATTATTGCTACCATAGCCATCATTTCCATCACTGCTGTGTCATGCTTGTACCTGTTCTGAGTTTATTGTAAATAAGGAGTAAGTGTGATAATAGTCATTAGTTACCTTTCGTTCTCCTGTTTGATTTGTTTAGCAAACAAGATAATAAAGTTCTAAATTTGTATTTATGTTTGTTTATTTTAAGGAATTACTGTCAGTGTGATCTATCATCTGATTTTGTACTCTTGAATCATTCGTGTGTATGGTAATAAAAGAGATATTATCAGCTAAGAGGCAGGTTGTTGCTCTTCATTTTCAATCATAATTTTCTGATGCCAAGACACATCAAATGGTTCACTTTAGACCACTGAGATACATTTACATAAATCAATCTTTGTGCATTGTGCATCCTGTTTCGTGTTTGTTAAGTTAGTGATCAAGTTGATCTTTCCATGCACACACAAGAATTGTCTTCTTTCCTTGTTCTTGTAATTTTCTTTTGGAGCGTCTTAACCCTGCGTTGCGGGAGGTGGTTTTTGGAAAGCTTCACTTTTGAGTAAACTGATGCCATTTTTGGGATCTATAATGAAAGACTGAAAGTACAATAATATGAATTAAGCAAAATTTTACTGTTGAAATAACTTGTATTAACATTTTATAAGTAGCAAATGAAGAAGAGCTTAGGGATCTGTTGTCTTTGTCTTCCAAGAAAGTAGTGTACAAGTTAGGTAAGTTTCTTATATGTTTGTTGATAAACAGGAAACATACCCGATATTGAATACATTGATTCTTCTGTAGTATCTTAATGGGGTATGCCGGATAAGACATAGGTCATTCCTTCAACCGACTACTTTACATCCATTCTTTCTAGTTAGGTCAATAATATTCATTACTACACCTATTACTCTGTCGTATGTCTATGTATTTGTTGTTCTTTGGGATCATAGGGAAATTGCGTTAGTTAATATCATGTAGTAAGCATTATATCAATATATATAAAAGAGGGGCTGAAGCCTGGTGGCCTTAACTAATAATTTATTGTACTAAAACTGCAGATAAGGGACCTATATGTCTACAAGTACAAGAACCTAAAAAATATCTATGCTTTTCTGTCCTTAGGCTTAATAGTCAATGATTGGGTAATACATTGACGAAGTATGGCAGTAATTTAAATGGTGAGGAACAAGGCCTAGGGGTAACATAGTAGCTTGTTTTGAGTCTCGGGGCCTCGTTGAAATTTATGTAGGATGCTGGCAAGTGAATGGCTTGCCATCAAATTGCATATAGAGGAGCTGAAACGTAGTTTCCCTTTAGACATAATTTTCTGCGAGAAGTGACCCCAAGATCCCAGTCATGATGAATAGCAGCAACATGCAAGATGAGATTGAGGTTGCTGAGTTCGGGGAATCTGTTGGCGAGTCACCATAAATTGTTGATCCTCCACCTGGTGTAGCGATGCTTGGGGTGTATGGTGATGTTGTTGTTGTTGGCATTGTTGGTGTTGATGGCGTTGTTGACATCATTGGCGTTGGTGGCGACATTGTTGGCGTTGGTGGTGAGTTCATGCTGAATTTTCCAAGTAGAATAAGATATCTGTTTTACTTTATGTAAATATAAATGAAGTTGGAGGTAGGGGTATGAAAGGTTACCTGGTTGATGATGAGGAAGCTGCAAAGCGACAGCTACCAGTACCTGCAATTTGGCAGAGCAAGGAGTTCAGTATTTATTCAAGCGTACATGTAACAGGAACAGCAAGGTAAGGAATTGAATTTGTTAAGTGGCAGATCTGAAACTTTTGGAAAAAGAAATGGAGAGTTCTTTCTGTGATAAGTGAAGTTTGTAGGACAAGTGATAAGCTTGATAGAAACAAACTTCTGGAAATGTCTTACTTGGGTCAGTGTTGCTGAGTTGAGCTGTTCCGCCGAAACTGCAGCTGGTAGGAGATGGGTGCTTCTGATAGTAGTCATTGAAGGCGTAGGAAGCATGACCTTGAAGAGTGTTTGGGTTATAACAGCTTCCACCCTGATTAATTGCTGAACAGTCTGCAGCTCCATAGCCACAAGCATAATCAAGAGCTACCTGCAAGGCATTCTGTGCCGCAGATTGGCTTGCAATACACCAAGTACCACCTGATGATGGAGTCGTGGTGGGAGTCGTGGTGGGAGTTGTCGGGGTCAGGGTCGGTGGTATTGGGATTGGAGTTGTGGTTGGGTCTGTTGTGGTTGGTGATGGTGGGTATGTCGGGTTCACAAACGGTGTGGGAGTTGTTGGTAGAGTACTTGGATTGACGGTGGGAATATTATCGAGCTGCGTAGTATACACCGAAGATGCAGAAAGTATATGCTTTTCTTGATTCACTTGCGTTCTTCTTTGGTGGGTTGCTTCCAAAAGAGGATTCTTTGGAACACTTGAACCTGAAGATATGAAAAGCATGGTATCAGATTGAGTTAAAAGAGCATGCTAAATGCTTCTTGTGCTTGAATATAATCTTTTTTCCTATGCTTGGATCATACGGAAAGGAGGTGGATTAACATTAGATAGAACTTCATGTAGTTTTGACTCGAAAATGTCACAAACTGTAGACGTTTTGAAATTAGAAGCGGCTGGTTTCCGAATCCAGTGCTCTTTAGAAATAGTAATCTTAAATTAATCTCTTCATAAATCTATAGACATGAAGGAAAATTGATGATCATTGAGGAAATCCGGATTGGTGGTTCGAAGGCTCGTGTTGAAACACACAGAAGGAAGAGAAACACATAACCAGGCAGGAACAGAGACCCATACAGCAATTCAAATTACCCGAACTAAAGCAAAAAAACAAGAAAAACAACGCAGAATGCCGAAGCGAGCCAACACCCATCTCTCCTAGCTACTTCTCTTCTTGTGCACTCTTGTGATTGCGGGTTTTCTTTGAGGCTGGAAACAATGATGCAGAAGCCAAGATATACTACCCAAGAGGAACAGAAATGGTGGAGGTACTGCAAAAAAGAAGCTTGTACGTCCTTTCTCTGCATATTTATTTTATATATAATATACCTAGAGGAAGAATCGTATCTTTCTTGGATCGAAGAGAGACGAAAAGAGAGAAGGGGATGGAGAATATAGAAAACTTGAGAAAGGAGGAATTGGGTAAGTTGGATATGCAAGCAAGATATGGTTGCAAAAAAAAGAAGTGTATGAAATGGGGAAAGGCAAAAGAGAATGATCTGTTGGGATTTAAATCTCATGTTCAATGCTCATGGGATTCAAATCTCATGTTTTATTCCGGTTAGGAGATGCGACTATGAGACGGAACGTCAGGGAAAAAAGAGTAGAGGAAGACCTATGAAGACTTGGAAATAGAATTTAAAAGAAGATATGATGTATTTTAAGCTAACAGAAGACTTGAAGCAAAACCAAACGCAGTAGCATTTTGGGATTCATACATCTGACTTCACCTAGTTGAATAAGACTCAGTGGCGGTGGTTGTTTGGGCTAATAAATTGGGAATCTCTCTGTAGAATTTTGTTTTTTTAACCTTTTTGTTTTGTGCTCTTCTTTCAACTGTTTTTGGTGTACTTTGTTCAGTTGAGGTGGTTTTTTTTCATGGTAATGAATCAAAAAGTTAAAGTTGTTGATGAGGGAGTTTATGAGTGGCATCTGGTGGTCTGTAATCGAGAATATTGTCTCCTCCTGGTCGATTTCTTTGTTCATTGCTCATGTGACATTGTTTTGCTTTCTTAAAGAACAAGTTGGCATTGTTTTTTCTTAGCAAAAGGAGAAACTTGGCCTTAATATGAGCTCAAGAGCCATTCAACTTCCCTTGAGAACTCGTCCGTCAGGCCGGGACGAAAGTCGGCCTTAGTGATCCAACGGTGCTGAGTGGAGGGTTGTTGTTAAACGGATAAAAGTTACTTTATGATTAACAGACTGGTCATCTCATATAAAGGGAGTGTAATAAAACATCAATACTGATTGATCCATAATTAGACAAATCAGTGCATAGAACAAAAAGACAACCAGCGATATTTTACTTTAAAATAATTGAAACAATGAAGAGAGGAATTTGAACTTGAATTCATACGGAGAGCACATATGCTATAGTCTGTAGCTATTGACTAAGCTCATGTACGCAACGAGCAAGGTTAATCATGCTTGTTATTTATCGGGCATTTCTTACCTAATTTGGAACAAAACTTTTGGTGTGAACCAACACAGATGAGGAGAAAAAACATATGACGTGAGAGGACATATTTGGGTTTCTTGCTTTCTTTTAAGGTTCACCTCCTCAAAAGCAGAATCGCCAATTTTAACTAAAATGTAATGCAAAGCCTCCATATTTGGTATATAGGACGTACTTGAATTCCTTGAAATAGTGATGATAAAAATTAAGCAAAATTAACGAAAAGTTCTCAAAAACTTTAGTTTTAATAAAAAATGACAAATAAAGGTGTAAGTGAATAGTACTAATACCAGAAAAGGAAAACATGTGATTTTTCGTTAAAAGTGAACAATACTTGAAGTGTTTCGTTAAAACTCTCAAATGAAGCAATAGTTTGGTCACAAATTACAGCAATATTTGGGTATGGAATAGGGGTGCAAGTTGGCATGATTTCAACTTTCTGACGGTAAAATTTCCAATCAAAATCCAAAAATTCTCCAATTCGAATATTTTCCAAAAAATTTGAACAAAAATCAGAATGCACTTGGCAATTCCAATCGAATTTTTAAAGGTGTTCCAAACTTATTATGAGAAAAAAAATTCAAAAAATTCTGATTCTTATAGTTGTGTATTTTGTTATCAACATTTTAAATTGGCCTGATCAGATGAACGGTCATGGTAATAAGGTAATCAGAAAATAACCCCGTGGTTTTATCGGACAATGCAGTTTCCTAGTGTAGGCCATTGGATTAAAATGAAGTTTTAGATATATTTTGTTCATTATTTTTAAACATACTTTTATCTATAAAACTAAAATAAAAAAATGTAGAGCATATCTTCCTAGACTAGTATATTCCGCCATCCCCCAGGTTCTTCTCCAATGCAAAATCCCCATGCGAGCACAGAGCACTCCTGCGATATGTTTCATCACAGAACTCAAAATCCAAGAGTTCTATACGCATTGCCCATCTCTTGCAGTTGCAGGCACATGTAATCAACGAGTACCGCTGCCGCTTTCATGGTAAGAAAGAACCGTCTCAACCACTGATCTATCCCCGCTGAAGCATGCTGCACTGTGAAAGACGTTGCGTGACGTCACTCCATGCTGCAGATAAAAGAGATCCTCAGATTACTTGAGGACTTGAGCACATTTATTGCAAAAGAATGATGTTAAGTTTTGTACCTGGGAATTTTCGAAAATCAGGCTCTATTCCGTTGCCATTAATGTCCTTGTGTTTTGGCGTGACATACTTCCCAACAGTTACAACCACGCCGGAGCCATCACGAAGTTCAAATACAGATTGAATTAAACCCTGTCAAAAGCATCAGAGACGCCATCAGAATCATAAAGAGAACTAACCATTAGAAAGCAAGTGGCTGGAATCTTGAGGAATCTAGCTAAATGCAGTTCCGTCACAAGACATATACAATAAACATGCAAAGACAATGTTGAGCAACGGTAAAAACTGAAACAGCGATGGCAAATTTTTACCTTGCCAAATGTCCGTTCACCCACAAGAACCCCTCTACAATTATCATGCAAAGCGGAAGCAACCTGCAATGAGAGCCACCGATGTAAGTGCTTGAATTGTATGAACCAAAATAATCATACGTAATTGGGATCATCGAGCTGCTCACAATTTCACTTGCACTAGCAGTATTGTTGTTCACCAAAACCTGTATTAGAAGTTAAGTCAAGAGCCTTGTCATAACTCATAAACTCGAGATGTTTGCAATTACACTTGCCACAAATACAATTCATGGAAACAGATAAAAAGTATCTTAGACATGTACAAAGGCGTACAATAACAGGTGCTGTAACTAATGGTGTAGTATCTGCAACGATGCTTTGTTGGTATTCGGGATCCTTCCCGTCAGTATAAATCACCTGTTCATAATCATCATCAAGAAAATACACCACATTAACACAATCATTCTACTAGCATACAGGAGCTACTTAGAGAACGCAACATAAAGGACTAACGCCAAACACAAATACCACCAATGAGAAAATAAACAGGAAAAATGTATATGCAATAAGGAAAAAGGAAAAACACAAACCGTCTCCCCTTGATTTAGAAATAGCTTGGCAATTTCTATTCCAGCCTGAAAATATGCAAACAGGTTTAAATAAAGAATCTTTATATTGCAGAATTCATCTGAACAAAGTACTAACAGGGAACATACAACATAACTGAGTTTGTGCTAAGAATCAATGTTACATGATTGATTGAACACAACTACTGAAAAGGGATGCATGATTTTCCACAAAAATATGTAAATTTTCATTTTATTATTGACAATGGCATCATCGTATAAAGACTTGATAATGATAATTCAATTTCTGTGATTGAAACAATAAATGATGACCACACATATGGATTATCTAGCAAAATTTTCAAATATTATTGAAATTGTCATTTATTTAGACAATCGTACAGTCTGACAAATACGACCAAGACTAATTGCAAGTCATGATGAATCGAAACATTCACATGGCTCATGTGTTTATAGAGCCTGATTGAGCAAAAACAGGAGAGAGATTTACCGGCTTTTTAATGGCTCTACTCTTTTGGAAGCTAGAACAGGATAGAAGTAATAAATTCGTACATCATGTGATCAAAGATAAACTAGCAGTTATAGTTAAGGAATATATGACTAATAAACCTACTAGCTAGCTAAAAGATCCACAATGCCAAGTCAACAAAACCAGTAGTTAGGATGAGTGAAATTCTCGGAGGTGTAGTCATCAAACCTAGCATTAACTCAAAAGTTATCTCTCAACTAGCAGTTATAGTTAAGGAGTATATGAGTAATATAACCTAGTCACTAGCTAAAAGATCCACAATGCCAACAAAAGCAGTGGTTAGGAAGAAAGAAATTCTGCAAGGTGTAATCATCAAACCTAGCACTAGCTTGAAGTTAAGATCCAGAATGGAAACCTGTACTAGTCCACCACGATTATCTCTAAGATCCAGAATGAAGTATGAGGCACCCATGTCCTGAAGCCGCTTCATAGCTGCAAAATCAATTTTTCCATCAATATCCACCCTACTACTAACCGACACTATATAAGTCTAGTATAAAGCAAAAGAAGAAGCTGCTAGTGCCGTTATAAATAAGGTAGAGCATAAAAATATTGAAGCTAGCAAACTGGGAACAAAACTGAGAAGTTTAAGTATTTAGAAAAATAACAAATGGTTGTGAAGATATTCATGATTCAGCAGGTGTAACAAATTGAAACTGATGATGAATCATAAAAGCAGGTATTTCCATGGTCACATTGCCCAATCTCTATATATTCAATTGTTTCCGGTAAAATAGGTTTATTACTTTGGATATTATCTGGTTCCTCCTAGATATAGAACAGCCCCAAAGAGAAGGAACATGTAGTAGTTCATTTTTCCTTTCCATTTACCGCTAATGTTTAAAACCAAAAATATGTAAAGAAACACTTTCATGCTCAGAAATTTTACGCATTATAGCATCATGCAACTGATTAATTTAGATTAGGAATAAGCGATAACTAACATTCAGTTGAATTTGCTAAAACCACATACCAATTACCAAGTCCTTTCTAGCCAATGCATTGAACTCTTTTACTCGCATGTATCCAACAGATCTGGTTCCATTTTCTATTTGTTCCAACCGATAAAAGACAGGGGTTCGAGCAACAAGTTGTCTTTGGACTTCAATAGACTGAATAGGCCCACAATTGCCATGCTTGACCTGAAATGTATGATGATGTTTATTCTCAACAATCATTTTAAAACAAACCAACAAAATAGTAAATTAGCAGTACCCATTGAGAAGCTTAATTTAAATGACAACCTATTTTTGGTTGAGAAACAAAACATCAGTATTCAGTACAAATAATATCACAACCTTAATAGTAACGAACGTCTCGTTAGGGCCTTGCATCAATGATGATACTTCAAAAGCTGACTTCCCTTTCACATCCAATCCATTAACAGCTAGTACTTCATCCCCCTACCAAATAATAAAATGCAAGAAAACATACAACCAGCAGCCAACACAAAACACTGTCAAGACTTTATGTGAGTTTGTTGAAAAGCCAAAGCGGAGAGGGAGATATGGAAACAGACATAATATTACATCTATAACTGCAAGTTTGGTACAGGAATACCTGTCTCACACCTGCAGATTGTGCAGGACCATCCAGTACAAGTCCTAGTACCTTCACTTTCACATCTCCGTTTTCATCTGGGACTTCCCTGAGGTTTATTCCAATACCACTCATGTCATACCTCGCCATCTTGGAGAACTTTCATTTCAACATGACAAAAGCGACATATGCCATGGAATAAGATAAGCTGTAAAGTTCGTAAATAAACACCAAGTGAAGACAACATGTATGTTGTAAGGGATGACATTCGTAAGCAAAGCCCTTAATTTTTCTTCCCATCTTTCCTTAGCACAATGTGTCGTAACACTAAACCTTGTAGCGTGATGTTCATGTAAAGAAACGATATCAGGAGGAAAAATACTAGAAAATCCAAATACAGAGAGACTGAGGAAGGGGGCAAATAATGAACTACCTCTTCGGGGGAAAGAAATCGCGTATAAGGGTCACCCAAGCTGGCCAACATTCGCTTAATCATATCATGAGCCTTAGCTCTTGTCTTTATTGAACTACTTCTTATGTCTTCCTTTTTCCTCTACCAAAAAGATCTCCAACCATTAATCTCATGCACACCCATTATATATACAAATATAAACGCACGAGCACGGGCACACACGCACATATTATGAACTGAATCAACCAAGTATATAAACATATGCAAAAACAGAACAATTACTCCCTAATCAAGTCCTTAACTAACTTTCATTCCAGAAATTAACTAACTTTCATTCGGAAATCAACTAACTTTGTTTCACATTTCTCTACAATCAACTTTCGCACGCGTCAAAATCGAAGTTCTGCAAACGCACACGTGTGTACCTGCCAAGTTTCAGGGAACGAGCTCAAGCGGCCGGTGTTGATAAAGCTGTCATTGACAATTTCCCAAGCCTCCTCCACAATCCCCTCATTGGTCACCGCCGCCGCTGCTTCGGGCACCAAAAACTCCGCCGCTTCACCTCCTTCCTCCTCGCGGCAATACTCAGTCGACGGCGGAGAAGAAGAAGGAGAAGGCTCAATTGCTATGGAAGGCGAAGGCGAAGAGACCAGAAGACAGAGCGACAGGGCCCCACCTAGGGCTCCAACAAGAGCTTTCTCGGCCCAATTGATCGAATTTCGCTTGAAATTGGATCGAATCGGGGATTTTAGGGTTTCCGATAACGGCGGCGGTGAGAGTGAGAGTGTGGTGTTGCTGAGCAACAGAACCCTCATCTTCTTCTCCTCCTCCTTCCAATAAGAAATTAAAATTTACCTTTTTATTTAATTTCGCGGGAGTTTAAATACGCGGCGTTTTGACCTTGGTGACGGTTTGACACGTGGGAACGGGGCCTGTTTGGGTGCGTGTGGGAGTTTAATCCAGTCCCGGGGTAGGACGGACAGCGGTGGGCCAGGGCCAGCTGTTGAGTAGGTGTCCGACTGTCCACCCCTCGGTTGCCAAGTGTTGGATTGTCGAACATGGGACTGGATTGGACTGGACGGCTGGGTTGGGAAGATATTAGTTTGGACTGGATTGAGACGAGCTTAGTTTGCAGAAATTTTTAATTATGATGAGAATACAAGTGGTATATCACATGTTTTAATAAGAGTAGTGAAAAATTTTATGTTTTAAGTTATTAATTTTTTAGCACACAGATCCTACAATTTATATAATGATACGTGGTGTACCATCGCATGTATCGATCACACTGAAAAATCTCTACTTAGTTTGGTGCAGTGTATGCGAGTACGCCGTGTCAAAACTTAGGATAAGTACAATCATTTGTTATAATATTATTCCTTTCATATACTCACTCTAAAGACGCGTCCACCCACTCATATATATATTTTTTTTAACTAAAGTAACTTAGTTCAAATAAAAAATCCTTGAGTACATTTGATTTCAATACAATCGAAATAAAAGGCGTGTCTTGTTCGGATACAAAACTCTTAAATATGTACATTTTGTACACTATGACTAATGGTAGCAATGCGTCCACCACAAAGTTAGCTTTTCTGAATGTATAAGTCCACTTGAAGTTCAAAAAAGAAGAAGCAAGCTACTTGATATCCTCCAGAACTGTTCTTAAGTTCCAAGGAGCTTCACACACCTAAATTCATTGATAAACTTACGTGATTCAAGTTTATATTTGACAATAATCGAACATAAGACTTTTTATTTATAAATAAATAAGAACACCACAAAACTGTTGTACGAAGTGATCATCAGTTGTATAGTCATTAAAATATATTAAATCATCATCTTTATTATTATATGCCCGTCGTTATCTTGTAATTAATAATCTCATTTTAGAACTAATAAGCTACAAGATACGAAAGTCATACGGACAAAATTCTCTACAAGAGGCAAGTGTGTTAGTGTTATGCGAGGACGGTCAAATTGATTTGATTTAAAAGGATTGCTAAGGTGGCCATCAATCATTGTGAATCTTTATTGCATAAAAAATTGTAAATGTATTCTCAATACATTTTTAACTCAAGGAATTGGGGGAGATCGCATTTTGAATATTGTCTAGAAGGAACTTGGCTAAATATATACTTGATTGATTGTGTGGTTCCTACTTTTTCAAGTATAAATTAGCCATTGGAAAAGTACTTATAATTGTGCAAATATACATCTAAGAAATATTTTACCGTCAGATTTGATCATATTTGATATCAGCCGTTAGATGCAATGTATTTAAAATTTTTAAGTTGCCTAAATTTTAGGTTTGAACCAAAAAATTATTTTAGACCCAATTATTGAAGAATGATTGAGTTAGTTTAAAACCTAAATTTAAGTGTCACTATGGTTTAATAGTATTCATCTTCACTTGTAATGTGAAATGTCTTAGGTTTTGATTATCGCCAAAGGCGAATTTGAACCATATTATTGCTAGTCTATTATAAGACTTAACTTACTCTCTAACCTCATAGTATAGATACATCATTTGTTCAGTCTTTTTACTTTAAAGTTGCCTAAATTTTAAAAATTTAGATGTAATGTATTTACAAATTTAAAGGTGCCTAAATTTTAGGTTTTAACCAAAATTATTTTAGTCCCAACTATTGAAGAATGATTGAGTTAGTTCAAAACTTAAATTTGGGGTTAAATTTGCCCAAATTTTAGTTTTTAACCCAAAACTTATTTTAGGCCCAACTTTGGAGCAAGATTGAGTTAGTTTAAAACTTAAACTTTAGGTTTTAACCCAATGATTGGAGATGGTCTTCGCTACTATCGTGTGATTCAAGCGTGTTATAAAGTGAACACAAAACGTGCTATGTGGAATATCTTGTGATTCAAGTGCGTTAGGAATCAAACTCAAAATGTTCTATGTAAAATAAGGGCTTGAAATTTATTTTCAACCACTAAGTCACCCGTGACGATTCATATCATGTGTAAGATAATTCGACATTATAGTGCTAAATTATTGGTATAAGACAAAGATAGGTTGATGCCAATTAACAAAAAAAGTCAAATTATTTATAATTTAAAATTTGTTTTAGTAATGCCCAATGGAAAGAGATCCTTTCCAGATCATTTCCTCTAAAGTTCAAAGATTAAGTGATCCAGGCCTTTAAGATTTGATCAAACGGAAAAAAAATTATTATAAGTTTTAAATTTTTTTACCAATTTTTTTATTTTTAACCGTTGAATCAAAATTTTAAAGCTCAGATCATTTGATTTTTAGGTTTTAAAGGAAAAGATATGAAGAAGATATCTTTTCATGCCCTAGGATTAACACCATATAATTACTTTAGTGGAGTTTTTAAATTTGTGAAGCCGAAAATAATAATTAATTAAAAAATCTGCACACTCAAAGAGGAAAGAAAAAAGAAAGAGCGAAAGGAAGGGTTTTCGGTGCCGAGAGAGAGAGTTTGGATTTTTATCTTCATCTTCTTCCTCCTTGCGTTCTGTTTGGCAGCAGCGGCGGAAACTCAGAGAGAGAGAGAGAGACGAACAGCTGTAAATCCAATACGTCGCCGTTTCGGCAGTCTCAGATCTAATAAGGGTTTTCTCACAGAAGGGGAGAGAGAGAGAGAGAGAATGAGCGGGAGAGGCGGCGGAGGCGTGGCCAGCAATGGTAAGGGCAATACTGGGATTTCCGGCATACCTGCGGGGTCTCGGAAGATGGTGCAGAGCTTGAAGGAGATTGTGAATAACTGCACTGAGCAGGAGATCTACGCTATGCTTAAAGACTGTAACATGGACCCTAACGAAGCCGTCAATCGCCTCCTCGCCCAAGGTCCACCCCCTATCCCTCTCTCTCTCTCCTCACTTTCTCTCTCTAAAATCTTCTCTCTTTTCAAATTTATTTGTCCAATTTTTTATTTTGAATTTGAAGTTTCGGGTTTTTTCTGTTTTAGGGCAAATAAAAAAGTTAGTATTGGACTGAGGCATAGCTGTAGTATTTGTGACAGTCCAGTGGATTTTCTGGATTATAAAAGGAAAAATATTTATTGGGTTGAAGGAAATTGTTCATTTGTTTTATCAAGTTTTGTGCTTTCCCTACTATTTGGTCTTTCAATTTTCGAAAAATATATATGTCATGCTTTGCTGGGCTGTTTCCCCCTCTTGGGTTTTGTTTATTTAGTTATTTTCTGGGTTCCCATCTTTCTCACTCGCAGTCGTTCACTCATCTTGTTTGAAAAATCATACTTTGGAAGAAATGAAATCAATGAGTTTTTTAAAGAGTTTTATTGTTTAAAACATTAATTATGTCCTTGAAGCATGCTGCTTGTGATGCTTGCTCCGTAAAATCGCAGTTGAAATTTGAAATATGATCTCTTTTCTGTAATTTTTGGTTTCGTAGGTTGAGTATGTTTAGGTCTTGGTGCTTATATGAATGTGATTTGGTTTATATATATGTTTTTTGTTGAAACTGCTTATGATGTAAAGCTTATAACTTGTGTAGATCCTTTTCATGAAGTGAAGAGCAAACGAGAAAAGAAAAAAGAGGTGCGTGCGTGTCATTTGCATAATTTCAAGTTCATGTTTTGTCATTTACCTCCCATCCTTGCTCTCTTCATGGTTTATGTTCTGAAAATATTTTATGTTATCCTATCCTTTCTAACGTAACACACACGCACACACACTCATATTCTTCTTCAGAGTAAGGAGCCGACAGATTCCAGGTCTCGTGGGGCGAGTAACGCTTCAAGTTATGGTGCTAGAGGTGGTGACCGTTATTCTGCACGTGGCGGATCAAACCACTTTAGCTCTAATGGTATGTGGCGGACTGATGCAATTAAAGTTGGATAATACTGTGTTTACATGGTTTGAAAATTTCTACATAACGTTGATAAACTTAGTCTCACCTATCTGTTTCTTTTCCCCCCTCAGATTCTGGTTTTTCGCATGGTAAGTCTGCATACAAGAAGGAAAATGGGACACATGCTTATCCAGGTTCTGCGTCTGGCATGGCAGGAAATCACACAGGTCGACGACCCACATCCTACAGGTTATAACTATAAAACCTCAAGCTGATACAGTTATTTCTCTCTTTTCTTTCTCTGATTTAGAAGCATATAATGCAACTAAATAATATAATTATTAATTTTGAGAAAATTGCTAACCCTCATCTGTTTATTCATGTTCTTTGGCTTTTTTAAACTTGTATTTGAATTTTTCAAAGAAAGCTTTTATCTGTTGAGTGTCTTGTCGCACTTAAACTTTCACTGTTACAGGTCACTTCATTTCTAACAACCGTCTGTTTAATATATTAATGCTCTTGTGGACATACTTCAATTGTAAAAGACGTAAGGAACACAATTAGGCCTTTTTTATGTCTCGAGTCTTGACATGTAAATTGCAGAGGAAGTTCTCTCATCTTCATATCTTTGTGAAAACATGCTCTACATTAATCATACGTGGTTTATATGCATGTCTGTTTGTCTGTAGCAGCTTTACTCTAGCTGGTCATTTTTTTTATTACTTCGATAGCCGTTGGGGTGGTATAGATTGCGATTCATGTTAAAAACATGGGGATGATGCATACTCGATGTGTTGCTCATCTATTTGTAAATCTGTTGCAGCGATTCTGTGGGGAGTGAAAATAAAATGCCAACATTGAGCACAGATGATGGAATATCGTCATTCTCACAGCCTTCTTCAGGATATCAGTCTGCATGGGGAGGGGTTCCAGGTCAAGTATCCATGGCCGACATTGTTAAAATGGGCAGGCCGCAAGCCAAGGCTACCACCATGCCAAACCCCCATAATCATAGTGGTAATCATCATGATGGGGTGCCTCCTGCAGCATCATTGCATCACAATTTGCATTCACCGCAAGATCATGTTCCAAAGTTGTCAGCGACCCATGATGAGTGGCCCTTGATTGATCCACCATCTGTTAGCATGTCCTCTGTTCTTGGGGCACCCGCAAACTCTGAGCTGTATGCTGATTCATCTAACGTGCCCGTCGATAGAGCTAATCAACATATAAGATCCCAGATAGATGAGGTTGAGGTGGAAGAAGATGATTCTGTTGAGGCACTTCCAAGCCAGAATGAGCCTACTTCTGTATCTGGTAGACATTTACAAGAAGATAATTCCGGAGGTGCATCTAATTTTGATAATAGCTTGTATGAAGACATAAATTCCTACCAACCACAGCGGCATGCTTTCGAGGAGAATGAAGGTAACCAGATGGCTTTTTTTTTGGGTTTGTCCTGCAATATCTTCTTCCTCTGTTTTTTCCGACCTATATTTTTCTCAAAGTTCCACTATATATTTCAATACGAACATTGCTTAAAGATATGGAAATATTGTGACGAAGGTTTATGATAATCTGCAAAGAGTATTTTAAGGGGTTGTTTGTAACTGAAAACTCAGTTGCAACTTGTGCTTTGAAGTTAGTATCTTGAATCAGGGAAGAAAAGCTTAATACTCTAATTTGGTGGATTTTGACCTGAACAGTTTTTTGCTTTTCCATAAATTCTAACTAATTTTTTCTCTGGATAGCGAAGTTGCTAATTTAAACTTTAATAAATTCCAGAATGCTGAATGCTGTTTTTTAAGAAATTGTCTACCCTTTCTTTCCCCAGCTGAAGAAGATGTGTCATCAGTGGCTGCAAACTTGCAGCAACTTAATTTACAAAACGATGATAGGGGAGCAGCTCCTGAAGAAGAAAAACCTCCTGTGGTCATTCCTAATCACCTTCAGCTTCATACTCCAGATGTCTTGAACTTGAGCTTTGGAAGTTTCCGATCTGGCCCAGATCCTGCTCTTCCTAGCTCCGATTCATTTGCATCGGAGCCACAAAAAAGAAACTTTGAAGAGACATCTGGGGCCGTAGATGTTTCTGCAATTGCACACTCAGATGCAAGGTATGACCTGGTGATAGTAATTCCCTTGATTTTATTGTTGGTTGTGTAGCACCATCTTAAGATTTTTTTTTTTTCCCTGCAGAAATCCCGAGTATTATGGAGATGAGCATCTCATGAATGCCTCGGACGAAAGTCTAGTTCATAGAACTGTAGCCAGTGCGGGAGATTATGAATCTCCTTCAGTTTCACAAGCAGAGATCTTGAAACAAGAAACCCATGAACCTGATCAGGGGAATCAATATGTGTTCTCTTCTGCACCTGGATTTGCATATGAGAATTCCCAACAATTGGATGCGGCATTTTCTCACCAACATACAAGCTCGCAGATGCAGAATATGGCTCCTTTTTCGAATGTGATGGTTAGGCAGTGAACTATGTTTTTTCTATTTGTTGTGTTAATTGTTTTGAGGTAATATTGCAGTCTCCACATAATAATTGATTCTGGTTTGAGCAATATATTGCCAGTTGGTTGGATGCCAACATCATTGGACCTGGAGATCTTACATGTTTAGAGCCTTTAGATCGACTGCATTGGAGTCTTTAGATTCACATCATTATATACATCACATGTAATGCTAGTGCTGGATGTGTTGTATGTTTTTTTTAATTACCAAGTGTTGCGAGTGTGTTTTGTCTGTATGTTCACATTGTTGTATACATTACATAAGCATTGGAAAATTAAAACTGGGAAGACAAAAGGGGCATGAGATGAAGCTTAGCCTTTAGTATCATCATACTTTAGATCATTCGGTTCTGTTGGTGTGTTTGTTTGTCTTAGAGTGACGTGGTTGCATTTTGCAAATCCTGTTTGTTACTGTTAGTTGAATCTCATTTCTCATATTTTCTTTAAAGCAGGCATATACAAATTCATTGCCCAGCACTCTGTTAGCTTCGAGTGCTCAAGCTGCAAGGGAGGATTTTCCATACTCACCGTTCCCCATGACCCAATCTATGCCCACAAAGTATGGCAATGCGGCTTCTTCTATCAGCGGTCCCACCATCTCCATGGCAGAGGTTCCTTCCTTTCTATTGTATATTAAGCTTATCAATTATTCTTTTAGTTGATGGTTTGACTGGCATAAAAATACTAGAACATTTTTACAACTTACACTGTGGGTGTCCGTTTCTTATGCTTGCAAAGAAAAAGAGTTACATGCAGATGTTCACCCATTCTTGTTGACCGAGATTCATGCTTAAATCCAAGAAACTTAATGTAACATAGTCAAACTAGTTTAAGTTGGCTGAAATTTGCATTGTATTCATTCTATTCTATAGAGGCCATGGATTATTTGTGAACTTGGTTGTCTTGTGCTAACTCATCATCATTCTGCTAAAGTTATATCCTTGGTTTCTTAAGGAAAAGATTCACTACTTATCCGTTCTAATTACATATTTATTGTCAGCCTGCACATTTTCTTTGGTTTGACTCTGATGGAATTACTTTAAGCATTTACCATCTTATGATTGCAACTTATATGTGAGTTAGTTGCCTCTGTTTTCTGTATTTCGTGTGTATGTTCCAATGCTGTGGAAATCATCTTCTTGAAATTGTTTGTTATGTACAACAAGTCCAGATAACGAAATTGTTCTTGTTCGAGGTTTTTTTGGTCAACTTATTTCTCTATTGCTCTGATCAAATCCGGACACATTAGAGATCTCAAATTTTCTTCCAATTGTTTTATTGTGGATACACAGGCATTGAGAGCAGGTGGTATTTCTGCACCTCAGCCTACTCCACAGGGCCTGCCTGGTGCTAATGTTGCTACTGGACCAGCTCTTCCACAACACCTTGCAGTGCACCCTTATTCTCAACCTACTCTTCCGCTAGGGCATTTTTCAAACATGATCGGTTATCCTTTCCTGCCTCAGAGCTACACATATATGCCATCAGCTTTCCAGCAACAATTTGCTGGTAACAGCACATATCATCAGTCTCTGGCTGCAGTTCTCCCACAGTATAAAAATAGCGTCTCTGTTAGCAGTTTGCCTCAGTCTGCTAATATTCCGCCTGGCTATGGGTTCAGTAGTTCAACCAGCATTCCTGGTGGAAACTTTCCTTTGAATCCACCTTCGGCACCTACAGGAACAACGATGGGCTATGACGATGTCGTAAACTCTCAGTACAAGGACAATAGCCATTTGATCTCACTTCAGCAGGTAATTTGTTATCTTGGGAAAAAAACTCATGAAAAGTGCTTATCCTTTCGTTCGTTTAACAGTATATTCTTTTTTCTTTGTCAGCAGCAAAATGATAACTCGGGCATGTGGGTTCATGGACCTGGTTCCCGAGCAATGTCTGCTGTTCCAGCCAGCAACTATTACAGCTTTCAGGGGCAGAATCAACAGCACGCAGGGTTCCGGCAAGCTCAGCAACCACCGCCTTCACAGCAGTATGCTGGAACTCTCGGTTACCCCAACTTTTATCACTCTCAAACCGGGATGTCCCTAGAACACCAGCAGCAGCAAAGTTCGAGGGACGCGTCCCTGGGCAGCTCACAAGGCGGCCAACCCTCGAAGCAGTCGCAACAGCAGCTATGGCAGAACAGCTACTAATTCTCAGTCATCTCCCTCCCTCTCCTCAAGTTTTTTTTCGGGGTCTTGTAGTGAGTTTGAAAGTGGCCAATCAGAGGCGTTTACTGCGGTTGGAATAATCGTCATCATGTATCATTATTTGGTCATAAGAGGAAGAGACCTTGGCTTGGCTGCTGCCCTGTCCCTGTCCCTGTGCCTGTGCCTGTGCCTGTGCCACGAGAGAGATTGTATTTCTAGATATTGTTTTCTTGCTCACCATGTTTAACCTGTTACCTTAGGTAAAAACAAGTGTGCTAATTTGGATTAGTGGATATTTTACTACGCTCCTTTTCGTTTCTTTTTTCTCTCTTCTGTTTTCTTGTTCAGTTGTGTTGTTTGTTTGTCCCGTAGTAGAGAAAAGATGGGTTTCCTCCCAATGAAATTTATGCATTTCTTAGCTAAAATACAAATTAGAGAGTAAATCACAATGCGCAGAAAACACTTGCGGGTTTACCAACTAGTTCTTGATTTAGTAATATTACATTTGATCAAACGGGAGAAGAACTTTTTGTGTTCAACTAGTTAATCAGATGAACTGTCGAACTCATTGACTATAGAGAGACCTTACTTCTTGATCTAATAAAATTTTCTTTGGTCAAACGGGAGAATAATTTATTTTCAACGGTTGAATCAGATGGACTGTCGAATTCACCGACTAAAGAGCGAGACCTGTGTGACCTACGTATAGAGCTTGTTTCTTAAGAAGTGGGACAAAATTGTCGGACAATCCACTTATTATCTTTACGAAAGAGGAATTCAAACTCAAATGAATTGAGGAACTTCCTACAACTTAAAAGTTCCAAGCTTTAAGCTCTCTCTCAGTAAAAAGAATGGAAATTAAATTGAACTTCACCCTGCCACGTTGCTAAGTAATTAAGATCATCTCCAACCGATCCGGCCAAAGGGTCATAGGGCTAAAAATAGCTTGGAATGACACGAAAACCATCTCGAACTGAGCTAGGCCAAAGGGCTTGTGGACCCCATCGGGCCCAAATCAGTGGGTTGGCCCTTTCCAGCTAGCCATTAGCACCAGAATGTCAAACTTGACATTTTGCCAGCCCTCTAGCTCCAGAATGTCAAGCTTGACATTTTGCCAGCACTCTAGCTCAGCCCATTTGAATGCCAATGCCTACCTAGCGTCAACATGACGCCAGTTAGCAACAACTAGTTAACGTTATGCTGCCGTCAGGTTAGTGTTGGAATTTGAATTTTTTTTGGACGAATTTAAAATTTTTTTCCTATAAATACCTACATCATTCCTACAACATTGAAAACTGAAGATAAGAAGTGCCACGTAGATAAGAATCTTATCTAAAATTTGCACAACCAATTACATCTCGACATGTGGCACTCGAAATCCTATCAGAAAAATTATTAAGATTACATAAAGATAAGAAATATGGAAAATTATTCACGTTAGCGACACATGCCATTCGAAATTCTATCCAAAAAATTATTGAGATTATATAAAGATAAGAAATCCGGAGGCTTATTCATTTGGCGACAAATGACACTCAAAATATGTTCGAAAACCTTATTTTAATATGGTAGTTTAATTTAATTAAAATAATGAATTATGTTTGGCCTATGATCATTTAGCCCCCTCGGTTGGAGATAATTTCTTGTCAAAGTGCTATGTTTCGCCTATGGATCTTTGGTCCCCTCTGCAGGAGATAATATAAAATATGGCCAAACACTATTTATTAAAATATAATTTCTTACAGCACTATATAGGGCTAAAATGAGCCATTTGGCCCTCCTTCCATTTAAGATGGCCTAAGCTTCTCCCTCTCTTAATTTATTGTCGCGCAAGCACTTCTTTTTTCTTCATTACGTACTTTTCTTCTAACTTTTCACATGCTTTTGCTTTTCATGGTTGTTCTCTTGTTTCTTTAGATAAACTTTAGCATTTGTTATTTGCTTGTTGGTTGGTTCTTCTATTTTACTTTGCTTATAGGAGGTGAAATGTTGAGACTGGAGGTTCCAATGTGTCACTTTGTGATTCTTAGTAAACTTAGAGTACGTTTGTTGCACTAGATTATCTCAGATCGGACTATCTTCAAAAATTAAGCTGAACTGACTTAGCATGAACTAAGTAATATAAAAAGATAAGAACATTTAGTGCAATGTTGGACTAAATTATTTTTAAGATCCAAATATATTTTTTGTCATTTTTAAATTCTCTCTCCCCACCCTCTCTCCCCCTTTCATTTTCTTTTTTTTTTTTCCTCTACTTTTCCCTGTTTTTTCCCGTTCTTTTCTTTTCTAGAGGCTTCTGTTAGCACTGTTCTAAAAATCCCCGCCTAGGCGCTAGGCCCCAGCCCACCGCCCCGATTAATGCCTAGGCCCCAGCTCACCGCCTAGACCACCTAGGCACCCGCCTAGCCCGCCTAGGCATCCGCCTAGACCCGCCGAGGTTGCAACTCACTTAGACAGAAAATACATAACTTTCATTTTGCATTTTGTTTTTTTCCAATAAATTGTAAGAGACTTGTTGCATACTTGAGTGAACAAACATTATATCCTTATTTCACATGTTTTCATTATGTTCCAATACTTCATGATATATATGCATTCTATTTTGTAGTTTATGATGAAATTATATATATTTCAAGTAGAAGTAGACACTTATTTACATGAAATATGATAGATTTACTTAAATCCGTCTAGATCGCCTAGGCGCTAGGCCCCAGCCCGCCGCCCAACTAGCGCCTAGCGACTTTTAGAACCTGTCTGTTAGTAAGCGTCTCTTATTTTCTTTTCTTTTTCTCTTCCTTTTCGAATTCGGGAACTGGGCACAAACCGATGCACCCCAACCAGCACCTGCCAATCGGTCCATGAAGGAAGGTGCAGAAGATTTGTGGAACAAAAAGGACGGGTCGATTGTTGAACCGCCTCCGTCGGTTCGACTGTACGGACGGAGGGACGAGATAGATTGCGGTGCCGCCGCTGGACTTGAGGAAACTGATATCAAAAGGTCGTGATTTGGCAGGATGGCTCTGTCTGTCCAATATCCAAATCGACATTGAACCATCTTAGCAGAAGTAGAAGCAGTCTAATTTCACAATCAATGCTCGGGCGCATATCTCGCTGCCTCTGGTAGATTAATGGGTGCCGCTCAGTTCGCATAAGAGGTTGAAGAGAGGAAGAGGAAGACGAAGGTGTTGAACTTGCAGACGAGGCATGTGTGCAAACGACGCAGGTCTTGGAGACGGGATTAGGAATCCCATACCTTTCGGGGGTGTACCTAAGACGAGCTAGCGAAGCACTGAGTTGGAACTAGTCCAATCTTCTCGCACCAAACACGGACTAGTAGTTTTAGCTAATCCAATCCAGTCCATTGAAACTTGATAGGGATTTTTATCGCCAGCAAAAAGTTGGAATAAAAACACACTTGTAGAAGGTAATTATAGTATAATCGACCATAACAATTGAATAAATAATTTGTATCAAACCAAATCTTAATTAATTACTTAAAATAAAATTTTGGAAAAATGTGATTTTGTTATTTCAAATAATAAGAACGAATTTAATAGAAAATAATTAAATAAACTGACAAAATAAAATAAACTAAAAGAAACGGTTTTTGAAAATTAAATTGTAAAAGCCTAGGTTTTGCCGTCATCTTAAAAATATTAGGTAGTTCTTTTAATTACTTATGAATTACACATACATATTTTGAAGGTTAGTTTTTTCCTAATATATGCCTACTTGGACCCCCAACATAGAGCGTATATCAAACATGCAATCTGTGGTTTTCAGATCAAATCTAAACATACATGACTTATAAAGCTTTTGAAACATTTTGAAAAACCATACAACTCTTAAAACATAGTATTCATCTTAATTGAACTTGCACATATTAACCATAATAAGCCTTCGTCAATTTTAGGGACCGATCTCTGACCAAAATTGCATCAAATTACTTTTATAAAGATCCTAATGGTAGCTAAGTATTAAGACAATTTGACAGTATAAACCAGTGATTAATAATTCAAACTTGCATGCATAATATCATAAGTAAATTGAAAAGAAACTACATATTCTTGCTAAGGCTTGTGGCCTCGCCCTAGCAAATGAAACTAGTTACAAACAATTATAAAATAAAATATTATTAAAAATATAGATAGAAAATACCTTGAAAATAAACTTGAATCCAAAAGCTTTCTAAAGTAGTGAGTTCTTTCTTCTCCTTTTTCCCTTCTCTGTCTCCTCCCAAAAAACCCTAATGGCTAAAAAGTCTTATTTATACTACTACATAATTAAAATCCTTACTAACAAAGGTCTTCTAAAAACTAGGAAACATAATTGAATAAGATAACTAGGAAATACATTTCTATTCTAACTTTGAGAAATCTGCCCAGCCACGTTTTTGGATTTCTAAAGGCTCCAAAACAGGTCCAAAACTACTTGAATTAAAGCTTGAGATGTCTCGAACATAATTGTAGTAGATCTCGAACCTAAAAGACATAATCTTGGATGCCAAAAAGCCCAAATAAGCCTAAAATGTCACTTTAATAGCACTGCACGTTGCTCATTTATTTCATCGCCATAAATAAATCATTTGGTAGAAAAATCTAAAACTTTGACACGATCATGTTAACAGACTCACAAATATTCTCCAATTAGAATAACTCGAAAATTCATTTATTTGAATACTTTTTGATCTAGAGGTTTTCGAATGTCCTATGTTAGAAATACATAACAAAGTATCAAAGTTCACACAAAATAACCAATAAATTAATACTAAGATGAAGTTAAAATATATAGTATAATATCTACTCATCAAATACCCCCAAACTTAACTTTTTGCTTCTCCTCAAGCAAAACAAAACTAGAAACAAAAATAAAAACTAACAAACTAGAAACTTAACAAAAACTTGACTAAGACAATTTTCACTTTTAAGTTGTAAGCCATAGAAAACGTTAAAAATCATAACATCTTTTCAAAAGTTCCAACTAATCACACTACAAAGTCCAAGCCATTCAGAATCAATTAGATAATAATTTATGAATTTCCTATGGTGTAAAGTTAACTAACAAATTTAAAGGGACTTGACTAAAACCCTTACTTCTCATATTTTTTATTTAATACTTCACACATAATAACTTGATATATATTTTTTTCTTTTTTCGCTTTTATTTTATTTATTTTTTCTTTCTTTCTAGTAACAGCAGTGATCGTGCAATGCCAGTTCTCTTAAGCTTTCGAACCAACCTATGTAGTGAGCTTTAAGTCAATGACTCCCAAACCATAAAGGCTTTAGGACACCCACGTTTGTTTGACAGGATTAGCAAGACTTG